TGCTGAGCTATAGTATCTCTTTTAGAAAGATATTCAGTCTTCATTTAAAAGACTTCAAGTGATGAATAATGCACCCTCAGCTCTAGGTAAATTATTCTTCTGGCTAATTACACCTACAGTTATTACATTTATTTATGCCAGATTTTTAAACTCAGTGACTTAATTTAGACAACACTTAAAAACTATGATTGTCTCAGTGACATGCCTTTAAAGATTAAGAGAAACTTTGAACCATTCAATATTTTATTAATATTTTAATATTTAATAAACCACTTTTGATTACTATATGGCGCACACAGCAAAATCTGCTCTGAATGGTAATCCTCCCCCTTATTTCAAATGTATTCAATTCAGGATAAAACATTGGGTCTTATTTGTTTTTTCTTAATGTGGATATTTGATAATTTTTTTGCAAAATTTTACGTAAGTTTACACACACACCCCCTCACATCCCTCATGTCCTAATTGTGCTCCTTAGACTACTGAAGAGGAGGTGCACAAGTGAAAGAGAACACTGGAAAATGAAGTTACACATAGTTGAAAGGGACCGAAGCAGAAGGAAGAGAGAAAATTCTGAAAGTTAAATGAAATGAACTAAAATAATTACTGACAAAAATATAAAAATGTATATGGAATGCTGTTATTAAAAGAACTCATTGGGTGCCCATCGCTGGAATAGCCTGGTGCTTTTCAGGGCTGAAGTTGTAAACATTTAATATCTCATTAAGGATTAAGTTACATTAGATCATACTAAATCTGTGGAATGTTAAGCAGTGTTAAATTTAGAATGTGCCATGAGCAGTTGCATGTTAAGGATTAATATTGTTTCTTAACTGTGCAATTCTGACTTGTCACTAGAGAGTGGATGAGCTGGGGCATGGTTAGAAGCCAAGGCACTATTCCTGCTCTGGGTGGATCAGGGTGGGGGAGAGATGGGAGCAATGTATCCTGGGAGGACTGCAAATTGCTCATTTTTATTTCTGTGGAGGAGAATGAATTTACCCTAGGTAGATAACATGGTCCATAGTTAACCCTTACCTGAGTTAGCATGAGTTGATGAACTTTAGCATGTGGAAACTAGCATTTTAAGTGCCTTTAGCATGATCTAAGTGTAAAGTGTAATTTCACCCTGAGAGACAGAATAACTTGAAGAATTGATCCCTGCAAGTTGGATATCACTCAGTTAGGATCCTGGCATTGGCCAAGGGAGAATAGTGAATGTGAAGAATACCCAGAAGAAAGTGTCAGAGGAAATACTGATTGGAAAGGCTTCACAGCAATAAATAAATGTTTATGTTGAGACCATTAAGGTCCCCTCCCTAGAGGGATCCCTGAATACAGGCACCTTGAAGAGCAAAGCAAGTGCATGGTTTCTGATATATATCACACAGTATAGTCACAGACATAGGCACCGAGTACCTGAGGGCCCTGTCTACCCTTGGGTAGAAGCCAGGGTGACCACCTGCCCCTAATTGAAGACTGACAAACACAAGTTACCATGTATCCCTGCAAGGGGCTGTGGGGAGCAGGAAACAAGGGGTGTCATGTGCATGTGGTGTGCACACATGCACATGGCCAGGAATACAGCTCCCTCAGCTGCCTGCAGACAAGTCTAGGGAGAGGGGCAGATTGAGGCCC